GGAGGAAGACGAGGACTTGGTGATGATCCCGTCCCCCGTGGCCAGCCCCCCTGTCCGCTACGCCTCCTGCACCTCCCTCAACTCCACGGCCGACACCGACCCGGATGGCGGCGCCGAGGAGGAGGACGACGATGGGGAGGAAGAGGAGGACAGCGACTTCCTGCGCCTGGATGCCTCATCCCTGGAGGAGAGCTGGTTCGTCACGCCGCCGCCGTGTTTCACCGGCCGCGGGGTCCAGTCCGTCCTGGTGGAGACCAGTCCTCTGGAGAACCTGCTGATAGAACACCCCAGCATGTCGGTCTATGCCCACCACAGCCCTCCCAGGCTCAACCAGAACCCCCTGCAGCACACTCTGGACCTGGAACTCGCCGCCGGCCCCAAGGAGAAGGGCAGGCGCACTCTGGACGGTTCGCATCACAGGTAATAATCTTGCCACTTGGTTTGCGGGGTTGGGATCGAAGACTTGAAGCCAAATGGGATTAGTGATTCAGGCGCTACAGGTAGGGGTCAGGGATTTAGGGGTGCAGTTAAGGTTAGGGATAACGTTTCGAGATAAGATTGGGGATTTAGGTTTAGGGTGGTTGGGGTCAGGTGTTTGGGTTGTGGGTCACGGTTAGAGATTTAGGGGTTAGGGTTTGGGACGGGGGTCGGCAACCTGCGGCTCTGGAGCAGCATGCGGCTCTTTAGCGCCTCCCTAGTGGCTCCCTGGAGGTTTTTCTAAAATGTTTGGAAATTGGAAACATTTGGGCGAGGGAAATATATTGTTTTTTTTTTTAATGTAGTTTCTGTAGGATGACAAACATGACACAAACATTCATAACGTTTTTCCAATGCTGTAAAAATGTGTCGAATAAATATTCAATTTCAACATTTCTGTCAACGAGGATTTGCCTAACAGCCTGTGACGCACGTTTCTATTAGCAGGGCGGGATGCCAGGCAGGTGGCTGTTGTAAAAAAAAAAAAAAAAAATTTCATTTCATGTACAATTCACCGAGGGTACTGGCAAAGAATGGGAATGTGGAGGGCTGAGAGAAGAATTTTTAAACGGTACACGTGAGCTACGATAGTGAACATGCTGCAATAGTGCGTCCCATGCCTCGATCATCTTTGGGGCCGTTTTGGCTGTCTCTCATTATGGCCTGCATGGGAACATCATCCTCATACTTTGTCCTCCCATCCCCCCCCTCCCCGCCTTGCTTCGCAGGCCAGATGTGTCGTCGGTTCAGCGCCGCGCGGGCCTTCACCATTCGGCGTGCTATGCGGCGGCGCTTCCCACCCGCGCCGGCCTCCTGCCGCAGCGCCCGGGCCTCGCCGGTCAGCCGCTGCTGTCCCGCAACGCGCTGCGCCGCCTCAACCTTCTGCACCCACCCAAGGCCGGCCCCACCCACCTGCACCAGCCCAGCCAGCGCCACCTCAACTTCTGAGGGCGCCGCCTTTGCGTCACACAACAAACACCAGCAGGACGTCCGGTGACGCCGTTTTAACATCCGAGGCGTCCGATTGGGCGAATAAGCGACGTCGGTGGAGGGCCATTTGGTGTGTCTTCTGCTTCATGGACTCTTTTTCTTCCTCACGTGTAGAATCAGCGCTGTAGGTCACTTTACTCAGAGGCAGGCTCACTTTAACCCGTCGTATTGCCATTGCATCATCACCCGACAACCTATCAACAATACTTGAACGTCCCTCATCACATTTGAGCTCTAAGGCGGGGTTCGAGTTTATTATATTTGGGGGAAGGGTCTTTTTAATCACATCTTGTTACTTGCTGACACACTGTATCTCCGCTATTGAAACTCCAAAAGTTGCTAGCATGTTGCTAAATAAGATGTAGCGTTTTCTCGTGTTGAATGTGTTATTTAGTCCAAAAAAAAAAAGACGATGGAAGAGTGAAGCTCCTTTTACACTTCCCTTCTGGAAAACTATCCAACTGTTCCTTTCGGACAGCCGCTGTGGTTTTTACGTGTTCTGACGGCCGTCGAAAGCAAGCACGCCCCCGAGGCGGTTCCGAGGAAGTCTCGGATGCAGCTCTGATTGAAGAAAATGGGGCCGTGCACTCATGAAAAAGTATACCCCGAGTTTCAATACATAAAAACAAATGTATATTGTTTTTAGAGTTGAGGGGACTTGGTCTCGTTCTGTATTTTCATGTGGATTTTAGTATCGGCTTATTTTTTTTTTTGTAGTATCAGACCAGTAAACGCGCTGCCATTTTTTCCGCAATATTGGGCCAATAAATATCGGTGCCATAAATACCATGCATCCCTTCCGTCTTGCGTTATGTGCTCTCTTGTATATATATATTCACCCCCCAAACCCCCACAACATTTTTTATGCACAAATCTTAAATTCCAACTCGAACCCTGCTTGAAGGTGTCAATTATCCTTTAAAGTCTTGAACTCGACACAAACCGAAATGATTATTTTTTTTATTGTAACGGAATATTCACTCCAATGTGTCTAAAGGGGAAAAAGTATGGTCGAGAAATTTTAAAAGTGGTCCTGCCTCTGACTTTTTGTCATATTCACAATTTTCTATCAAGATAAAAGAGGAAGAATAAAAGTTAAAAAAAACACACACAAAAAAAACAGCTGGGTTAGATATCACTAAACTTGCCTTGTTTTCATGGTAGCTTTACAACGACTAGAAATGTAAGACAAAAAAGTATTTTCAAAAAAAGTTCAAAAATTGTTTTTGAAAAAATGAAAAACAGATTGCATATCAGTATGAGAAAGTTCGTGTGTGTGTGTGCGTTTGCGTCAGTTGTGGTGGTCGAGATGTTATTAGGTAGAAGGAAAATAAAAAACAGAAAATGGGAAGAAAAATGTTTTTATTTTTCCTTAAAATCTGCAGTCCACTTCTCAGGGTCACAACCAATCACATTATACTCGGAAAATGCAGATTTACTTGACGGCTGATGATTCTTTTTCCTCCTTTTTTTTTTTCTTCTCTGTTTTCTTTTGCTTGTGAGACATTTAGTGTTGGTCCCTGGACTGTTTGATTGAGACATGTTTTCTTTTTGTTTCATGTTCATGTAGTAGATACACTTTTTGTTAAAACTCAACCAAAAAAAAAAAAAAGGGTAGCGAGGATCTGTAATCTTTTAGTATGATATTAAAATGATGTTTGTAATTTGTGTTGTTGGGCTTGGCGCTCTTAACATGATGATGAGGATGAATAATAATACGTGTAATCCACATTTGCATTATGGTCAAAAATGCTCACTTTGTACATTGAGTCAGCAGTATATCTATTTTGTTGTTGTAGTTTTTTTTTTTTTTAACTTTTTAATGTAATTTCAGAGGATTTCTTGGAAGAAGTGGGCAGAAATTAGCTTCATGACAATAAGGAGTGCATACTCTACCTGCCTGCATATACTCATGTTATATTTAAGATGATTATTTACCTAAAAAAAAAAAAAATACAGTAAAGGGCACATTTGACAAATGATAACAATCAGGACTTCTGCGTCATTTTAAAGCGCCAACAAATTCAGACGAGTTCTCTTTGGCGCATTTGAAAGTTTTCATTTCTTGAATGTCAGAAATCATGTCTTTTTTTTTCTCTCCATAATGTGACAGAAAGGATCGCAGCTTATTGTTTCCATCAGTCTGTCATCATGAAAACTAACAGGGATTTGTCTGTTTATTATTATTTTTGTAAATGTTTAATGCCTTGAAAAATTGGGCATCACGTGCCTTCCAGGTTGAGGATGTTCTTCGGACAATGCATCGATGAAGAACTTGGACTCATATTTAATGTCTTTTATGTTTTGGAACGTTCTACAAGAAAACAAAAGACCCAAATGGATGTCAACTATGCACCACTCTCGCCCTTTTTTTCTAAAGACTCGCACGCAAAGCAGACAGAATCATGTAGCAAAACCTCCAGTTTGTCTTTATTCTCTAGTGTGAAGAATATTACATGGCATTTGTACTTGCATAGTTTTGTTTTTGTTTTTATTCACCAAGTGTTACACGTTTCTGTTGTAGTTTACTGGAATAATACCGCACTTTGCCAAAAGAAAAAAAAAATACACATGCTGTAGGAAATGTAGGGTTAACTTTTTTTTTCTTTATTTATCGACATATTTCCTCTGTCTTTTGTATATGTACGACTGTTCAATTCACTTTGCTTGGAAATCTGATATGGTGGGGTTGTTTGTTTTCAAACTGTACTAGTTCATGTGTGTGATCTTTTACTAGTTGCAAAATAAATGTTTTCATACTTGCACGTTCAGTTGTAAAAGTCTTCTTCGTTTGTGTCTGCATGGCTATTTTACTGCCCCTGATGGACAGAAAGACATCACAATTGTTTGTTGGGCTTTTTGGGAGTCTGGTATGGATTAATTCAATTCCGATTCATTCTAATTTGGAGTGATGAGTGCTTTAAATTAAGAGCTTGGTTACCGAATGAATCAAGTTCGTGTCTTAAGGCACCACCGTAATATTTTGTATTGTTCCTTCTGCAACATTAAAAAAAAACAAGTACTCTGGGGCTGAAAATCAGCGACGACCACCGAGTACCGAGCACTTCTTCGACGAATGTAGTGGCCAAAACGCTGAAACCATCCACAGCGGGGTCACACGAAGGACAACAAACACCATATTATAAAAGAAAAACAAAAAAGCGGAGTTCTTGCAGACAACTACGGCGCCATTTTCGCTGATAGGAATTGGTATTTCGGTCCTAAAGTTGTTTGATAAATGATAAAAATTAGGTATAATGTTGAAAAGTCCACATTTTCACTTTGTTGACAAGTTTGACAGCAGCTCCACGTGCCGTCTGTTTACATTTTGGCTAGGGCGTCACGTGAGCAGCCCGGCTCACGCTTCCATTGGCCGACTGTCCCGCCGACTCCTCCCCCGGACGCGGAAATTCCCTCGACTGCGGGTGAAAAACTACTCAAAAATACAACTTTTCGACCACTTCGCCCTGCCGTTTGCATCCCAGACGACCTCAGGGGGCGTGCCGCGTCGTTAAAATCCAACCGGAACATACGGAAAGCCATATTTCCGTGGAAAAACACCGTGAAGTACTGCCGTCGATTGAAACGAACGCTGTCTGCTGGGTGAAAGCGAAGAAAAGGCTCGATCAGCTCGCGAATGTTTGTCCCGAATGAGCGTTTCCGTCGCGTTGAAGGCGCACCAGTCCCACGGGTTCGCGTGTACATTTTTTTCCGCTCGTTTTCAAACTTTTTGAGCGCGTTTCAGTGCGAACCGGGAACGCGCATGCGCAGTACCGGCGCGGCAGAACAGGCGGATATAAGGATTGGCGCCGGCGCGACAGCTGATCCAGTCATTCATTCTTCCTTCTTGGAGGTAAGGCCGACACACCGAGGACTTCTTTAAAACACCTTTAGACATTCTTACGTTTGTGTATCTTGCTCGATGTGTCTAAAACATTCATTTTCGTCGTCGTTTTGTTGTTTAAACACGAACTGGGGGGTGGTTTGCGCCATAAAAGCGGGATTCAACTTGAAAAGGTGCCTTCTTTTTCTACGTTTTATCTCCTTAAATATTAAATATGCACGGGATGACATCGGCTTGGTATCTCACAGGTCATATTATTGCCGCGCTTGGTGCCATGTTGCACATTTTTTTGAACGACAGTTGACGCGTACGATCACAAAGTGTCGTTGACAGACTCATCCCGAAAGTCGTTTTTCTGGTCTCCAAAGTTGCTATTTAACCTGTCGCCTTTATTGGTCGTGGCGTGTACGACGGAACAAAACTGTCCTTGGTTAGTATTTATAAATGTGCTACTAACGGCATCGGTAGAAGTGTTGACCCATTTAGCAACACGGCTAACATCAGCTAATTACAGTAGCTTCCCTCCCAAACTTGACCTCGCTTATCAACACGCCTAACCGCTTTGAAATGGCCACAAATGTGCTTCACGTGGAAGTTAAGGGTTCGATGTAGTTGTTGGGGTGCCTAAAAAGCCAACAGGGTTACGTTTGGAGCTGCTTCTGAGGCTATTTTGTGGCTGCAAAGCAAGTCGAGTTCAGGGGGGGCTCCCACAATCCTCCCGCTTAACGCTGCTCGAATTGGCGCGTCTTTACGTTTCTATTCTCGTGTCAATTTTGATATTTCGGCCATTTCCCGTCGCTCAAAGTACGCCGAGGGGGTTTGAGAACGTTTATTCTGACACCCCAGGATTAAAGTGTGATTTTAAATTGGGTATTTTTTGAGTTTTTATTGTCTAGAAGCGAGGGAACAACAACAACCCTCCCCCTCGTCCTCCTCAGTGGAGTCAATCTGTCTCATATTCATTTTCCCCCCCAACTTTAAATTCTTCATTTTGTTTACTAAATTCATCATTTTGTTTCGTTTAAAGCTCAAGTGTGTATCCTATGTTTTTCTTTTTGGAGGTTTTGTCATGACCGGTGTATGTGGAACTCCCAGTTATGTTTAATACAAGTGGAATAAGCCTTTATAAGCATTGGTGTCAATCGTTCTCACACCCCAGTATTTGTCATTTGATTCGAGTATGATACAATGATTTAATTTAAACTAGCAAGTAGAATAGTCAGACTGACTGCAAGTAATGTAAAATAATGATTATCTACGCAATAATGAATGTAAGAATCACCGTCTGACTCTTCATTATTTTACAAATCGTCAAACGCAACTCGGACGGCAAACGCAAGTCAGCGAATATGCAAAAAAACTCTAACACTGAGACAAAAGCATATGCGGTGTAGTACACAGTTATTCCACATTACTGGGGTATACACATAACTAATACAGCAGCGAACGCAAAAAAACTCTAACACTGAGACAAAAGCATATGCAGTGTAGTACACAGTTATTCCACATTACTGGGGTTTACACATAACTAATACAGCAGCTAACAAAAAAAACACATCAAACACTCACAGTTGTTTTAAACGACGTCACTTTTATTAAGCACCTTTATTAGCAATTTCATCTTAAATCCACCATTTTGTACCTTTTTATTGTCAATGGTGTCATAGACCGTCACATGTGTACAATCTTAGGCTTTCTAAGTGTTTCACTGACTCTTCGACTATTTAAGACCTTTGTTGACTTATAATTGCCACTTGCAAGTCAAATACGACCAGATGGTTCTTCAGCACGTAGGTGGCGATTACCCTCAGTGGCTCCAGAATGTGACTTCATCTCAAGACCTCCATTTTCATGTCTCTTTTTTTTTTTTTTTTTCCAGAAGCACAAGTCTCGGTCGCCACAACCATGTCCAGACGCAGGTGAGCACCTGGTGCTGCTGTTTGTGTTGGGATGAGAGGAGGAGGGGTTCTTCAATAGGGAGAGGGGGGGGGGTGTTCGCCCTCCCACCCGCCCCCCTTCTGTGTGGAGGGATTAGGGTGGGCCGGGTGCGGCGAGACCATTATCACATTATTTCAACTTGTCTCTCTCTCTCTCTGTCAGTCAAGGCAAATCATCTGTGAGGCGAAAGTGTCTTCTTGATTTGATTCATTTGTAATAATCGAAATAGTGCCTGTTCTCGAAACTTTACCTGCTTACATGTAATGCGAAATTCCAACGAGGGGCTCATTGAAATTAGTTGCGCCAATTATGAATTGCGACTTTGTCACCGGTAGCAGTAACAGATACAAACGTTGCATAAAACACACATATTCTGTCTTTTCTTCTTGCTATTCATTACGTGATAGAAAACGGTTGATGATAATCATGTTTCACGTGTCTCTTTAGTGGTCGCATCACCCTTCAAGCCAGAGACTCAAACACGCTCGAACCCACCATCAGAGCGCCACTGAGAAAAAGGAAGTGCGAGGTCAGTTGACATATCTTCTTCTGGAAGTGCATTTACATATCTGCTCAAATAGAACATGACAGGAGACACTCGGAATAGTGTCTTTTGTTTTTTTTTTTTTGTTTTTTTTTTTTTGAACAGTTCAACTCACTTCCTCACATCCTGCGTACATAATATCTTAAAATATATTCCGCGATTATTCTCACTTTCCTTTTTTTTTTTTTTTTTTTAATTGTGTTTTTACTATTTCTTGCCGCAAACATCAATCAAGACCAAATCATTTTCACACTTGTAGGCAGCACTTTTCAGTTAGTGGGCGGACAGATCACCAAGCACTGTTAAGCAGTGGGGCCTGCCGTGGCTTGAAAGTGTGTCTGGATCTTCACCCAGTCTTGCTTTCAGGTCATGGGCGTAGAAGCTCTGGTTTTGAGTCATAATCTTGTAGATTGGACTCATTTACATAACATTATATCCAAAACTGCTCATATTTTCAGAAGTTGGCAGAATATAATTAAAAAAAAAAAATCTTAATTTCTCTTGACTCTTGTGACGATTCAAAAAAGTAGAGGAGCAAGTTCTGGCAACAAACTGAGCCAATTTGTGGTATGGTGACTCCGAGACGACGTCTGCGTCCAGACTGCAAATGAATGGCGCATTCGTAATGAGTTGACTTTGTTTTCACTGGTGGGGGCAGCACTTACTTCATCATGAGACCGCTAACACTAATGTGCGCTAACGCTAATGTGCGCTAACACTGCGACTGTGCTGACCTTTTGGACAGCCGAGCTCTCGAGGTATCGTGTGAATTAGCTCAACTGTTGCATCACCATCTGGCAAAACTGGGAAAAGTTCGCTCACAGACTCATTTTTGGAAATTGGCAGGAAAATGTTTCGGTTGTAATTTCATGCTAACCGGGTAAGCAGGCAGTTGTATCAACAATTTCTATACAAGCTATTAAAACGTCACTTTTTACATATGTCACTTTTAGAAGAGAATGAAAGCGTTCATATGCCGGTGTGTCCGTTTGCATGACTTGTCTTTTCGTTGTCTGTCTGTCAGCCCTCCAAGAAGAGTCAACCCACTGCCAAGAAACAAAGCTGCTATGAAATTCAGGTTTGTGTGTGTGGTTTTTTTTTTCCCTTCATGTTATTAGCAAACCGATCGTGCGACGAGAGCTGATGACTTGATTATTATAATTGCGTTTGCACACCTTAGTATATAGCCGAAGTCATTTTGAGCTTGCTCTCTCAATTATCAGCACCAAAAAAAGTATGAATGTGCTTGCAAAAAAAAAATAAAAAAAATCACGAGATTATAAATGGGCTTTACTTTTTAAATTAAAATTTGTTTTTCTTCTTTCTTGAGCTTGCTCTCTCAATTATCAGCACCAAAAAAAAAAATGAATGTGCTTGCAAAAAAAAATTAAAAAAAATAACGAGATTATAAATGGGATTTACTTTTTAAATTAAAAATTGTTTTTCTTCTTTCCCAAAATTTTCAGAAATGACACAGGCAATTCCGCCATTAGGCTAAAGTTTTGGTCGGGTGACATCATGTATTCAAAAGCAGTGTCATGAAAGTGACTGTCGCCACAAGGGGTCGCTGTCATCGCCTTGTTGTTTTACCTTCCATTGTATGTGAAATGCTGAGTTTTAAGTATTGAAGAGAAGATTTAAAATGTACCGACAAAAAAAAAAAAGATTTTCCATAAAACAGAGAATTTTATTTATGTGTGTATTTAACGCCTCATAACAAGTCAGCCATTTTTAGATATTTCCAGTCTGTTCATGGCGGCCATGTTGTGTATTAACCACCACGTACACTATTTTTATGTATTTTTTGGGGGGTATAGAAGTGTTGGTCAGAGGACGGAGCGAGTCCGTGCGTCCTCATCGAAACGCCGCACAAAGAACTGGAACCCGCCGACCCATCCAACTTCAAGCAGTACCGCTTCAAGAACCTCTTCATCAAGGCTTCGCCCCTACCTTGTCTCAGGTACCGTCTTTCAATCCCACCCTAAGATGGCCGCCTTGCGTTTCGTGTCAAGGACGGTGGCATTGACCGTATGGGCGGCGCTTGTCGTGCTGTCGCAGTTGGGCCAGCTCGGATGACGTGTGGATCAAGATGCTCAACAAGGAGCTCAAGTACGTTCACGACAAGAATTATATGCAGCGGCACCACAAACTGCAGCCCAGCATGAGTTTTTTTTTTTTTTTTTTTTACTTTTACTAAAGTACAAATACATTTTATGAACTATAATTAGATCATGGTTATTTCATCTTCTATGGTTATCATCACAGTTGAAAAAAAATGTTCAAAATACATTTTTTTCAAAGAAATAATGGATATAGAAATGTGATTTTTTTAAAATTATATTTAAATTAAACTTAATGGATACATTAAGGGATAGTTTTACTTTAAAGATTTTAATTTTTTATTTATTTTTTTTAAAATTGAAGCAAATGTTTTGATTTTCAGTTTAAATTCCCAATCTATGGATATTATCAAACTTAAATTGAAATGGGGGAATGAAGCTAAATTAAAAAAAAGTGCTTTAATGAATTAAATTAACGTTAAAAACGTGCTATTTGACGTTTATATCAGAAAATAATTTAATTTACATTTCTGACCGTGACCAATCAGATGCAGCTTTAAATGCACGTTACCAAACAAAAGGAGAACTTATCAAGGGTCATTACAAAAACACACTACACATACATATCTCGCGCGCTCTTTCTCTCTCTCTCTCTCTCTCTCTCTACCTCTCGCTCTCTCTAAAATACAGGTATGTGTGAAATATTGTCATTTATGTACACACTTCATATATGTACAGGATACATATACATACACTTTGTGTATGTCTTGATAGTCTCCACAGTATGTACGGTTGTCATGTCATTGTATACATGATTATACATCCTGTATGTATGTATGTACATATATATATATATGTATGTATGTATGTATGTATGTATGT